GAGGGGGGAGGATGGTGCCCGAGCAGACGTGTGCAGCACAAGATGAGAGCTCTGAGGAGCAGAAGAGCGGAAAGACACTGGTAAGGGGGAGATGGCAGTGACAGAAAGAAGGGGAGCAGCCCCCATGGGAGCAGGGCTGAGGGGCGCGTTGGACAGCTGGGAGATGCGCGACATTTTTATGTGGTTATTTGATGCAGTGATTCCTTCTCTGAATGGCGTGTGTGTGCCTGGGGGGGCTCAGGGCAGGAGGCAGCGCTGTGTGTATGCCCAAACACAGTCTGTTTTGTGTTATCATGTTAACGCTGTGCTTTGCTAGCTGGTTTTCCTTCTGCAGCAGCAAATGCTGGTGGGCGAGTGGTTTTGCTGATACTGCCATGCTCAGCCCCAGGCCCGAGGCGACAGATGTACAGGGGAGATGCCCCTGGGACTGTTCGCGTTATGAATTTATGCAGCTTTCTGGCAATGAAAGGAAGCGAAGGGTCTGCTTCTCTGGGGCTGGGCTGTGCTGGTTCGTGCAGATGCGGATGTGGCGGCCGTGCCTGGCCAGACGGGAGCGGCTGGAGGAAGGGCTGCCCGGGAGGGAGCTGGACGGCTTGCGCTGGGGGCTGTAACACCCAGAGGGACCCCCCCAAAGAAGTGGAGGCAGGGGCAACAAGGTCCATTGTTTCTGAGGTTGGCTCCAGACCTGCTAGAGGCTATTCTTCAAATATTCTGTGGTCCGATGGTGTTTCAGTTTAGCCCTTTTGAATATACACAGCAAGGCCCTATTTATCCCCAGGCTGAATGGTGAAGTCACACGAGATCTGGATTGGTTTAAACAGCATGTCCACCGGGGACGTGAGGAGAGAATGGGGAACAGCAGGAGCGATGGAGGCCATGCTGTGTTCCCTGCCTTGGAGGTACAGACAGCCCTGTGGGCGCCTCGGTAACCAGGGATGGCTTCTCCTCTGTGCAATAGATCCTGCATGTTTCTACCCCCGACAGGAACAAGACTTGAACCCACCAGTGCTTTCTTCCTTGGCTTGAACTCTTGGGGAGGGCCTTGGCCTCCTCGGCCAGGTGGTGGTGGATGTGAGGACGCGGCATGTTGCTGTGATGTCTGGTGAATCAGCGAGCATGTTCTAAGAGAGAGAATACGGATATGTTTTGCTTGGCCTGGAGCGCTTTGGTTTGTAACAGGGCCCCAAAGGTCGGCCACATCTCTTGGTGGCCTCCACTGCAGTGTGTGGGGCACGTTCCCAGGCGCGTGGGAGCAGGACGCTACTGGGAACAAAGGCAGCACATGGAGGAGGCGGTGGGGAGAGGGGCTCCTTGTGCCAGAGCGCCGCTGGCTCAGCTGGCCAGGGCCCTTTCCCGACAGCTGGAGCTGGCAAGGGAA